GGAGCGTCCGGACCAGCCTGCCCCGCGCCGCTGCGTGCCAGGCCCCGCGTTGAGCTTGTCGCTTCCTCTGCGGTCCTGGCTGCAGTCTTTAAGGTGGTCCTTAGTATAGAACAGAGAGGTTAGTTAACTTGCTTTGGGTGGTTCAGTTCTAATGCAGATGAACAGCTCTAGCCTTTTAACTTTACTGTTAACGCCGTACTAAGGATTAATTTCGGCCACCAAGCGTGAGCCTAATTTAATGGGTTTGGAGAGGGCACCTTTTCTCGTTGGGAGACTGGCGGTGACCCCACGGCACCTCCTTTGGCGTGGGAAGGTCTACAGTGATGCCGCCTGGTGGCTCTCAGTGGCGCTAGTCTGCTGCCTCTGATTCCTCGATGAAAGGAAACGAATATTTATTCACGTAGGTATGTAAAGGTAAGGGCGGCGACCGATTATTTTGCTGTGTTTCTAAACATATCTTTACTCAGAGTTAATATTCTCCTTATTCTCTCTTCCCCATATGTGTCGGAATGTAGGTCCACCTAAAATATTTGGCATTTTTAGGTGTAGAAACTTTATTTTCTGTTTTTATTATTATAATTATTATTATTATTATTATTTTGCTCGTTAAAGCCAGATTCAAGGACTTGGGTGAGGCGAGTGAAGCAGGACCCTGCAAATGCAGGGACAGATACAGTATATAAGTTTCTTATTTTTTTTAAAGTAATGGGTGGTGATGGTGGGTTTTGTGTTCATTTGTTTACTGAGTTTTCCAGTGCCCTCTTAAAATTTGCTCCTGAGGAGAGTGCCTCACCTCGGCCATGTGCTAGCCCTACCTAAATTAACAGTGTGTTTTCTCTGGCTTACAGAATTCTGCTAAAAGAATTCAAGCTCATCTAAAAGGCAGGAAGGAATCTCCACCTGATGACTTAAGTACTGCTGAATCACAGAGCAACAGGAAACAAAGTCCAATCCCTGAAACTCCTAAAACTGCAAAGAGGAAGAGCAGAACTAGAGGCTCATTACCAGAAATGAACAAACCATCTACTGATGGAGAGACCTCTGAAGCAGAATCACATTGCTCTGTATCTGAGCCCCAGGATTGCATTTTAAGAGTAACCAGGAGAAGGCAAATCTTAGTTGCATACACCCCAGTGTCCAGTGTTAGGAAAAGGCTGAAAATAACTTCAATAAGTGAGTCTCATACTGAAGAAGAAGTCTCTGAAGCAGAATCGCATGTTTCAGGTATTTCTAGAATTGTGCCTTCTGCAAGAACCAGAAGTAAGGCTAATTCCCTAGCAGATCCAAGCCAAGAATCAAATTCGGAAGCTATTTCTGATGCTGAGTCATCATGCTCAGATATTTCTACATTTTCCAGAATTGCAACTAGGAGAACAACAAGGAATGTGCAGAGGAAATTACAGGCACAAACAGAGGAGAAAGATACTAAGATTATACCAGGAAATGAAAAGCAAATGGTAAATACACCTATGAGTTCAGAGGATTCAGATACCAAACAAACTTCTCGTTTACAAGCAAGACCTCTTCCTCAGGTAAATAAACCAAATTTCTCTAATGATGAAATCTATGACGACTTTGATGATGATTCCTTCCACGGAAAGTCAGGGAAAAAACCAACAGTGCAAAAATGCCAGCGTCTTAATATAATAGAGGAAAAACAGGCCAATGTTACCCCTCTCAAAGAAATACCAAAGCAGAATTGTAAGAGCTTAGATGAGGAAGCCAAAGGAGTGACAGATAAGGGAAAAGAAATTAATGAGAAAAATTCTGAGTTGAAGAGTTTTCCTGATCTTCAGGACACCAGCCTTCAGCAGTTAGTTTCTCAAAGGCATTCAACCCCCCAAAATAACAAAACCATATCGAAGCCCTCAAATCAGAACTGTGAGACTATAATGAAATCATTAGCTCAAACATTTGCAGTTGTGGAAATAGACAGATGGACTGAAGAGAGAAAGAGCACCATAAAAACAAATGACTTCACTTCAAGTGATGGTGGTAGTGATGAAGAAGAGTGCACAATTATAGCTGATAGTGAAGACACAAATGAAAGGGATGTAGATTTTGAGTGTGATACTAAACTGTACAAGTCTGGGCTCAACACATCTCAGGATAAAGGTGACTCTGTTTTATTACTTCTCAGCAGTGATGAAAGTCAGCAGTCTGAAAACAGTGAAATTGAAGAGGACACTGTGTGTTTTGTTGAAAACAGGGTTCAAAGGGAATCAAATGGAGACTCAGAAAATAAGTCATGTGACAATGCATTGTTTGTAATTGACACAACTCCTGGATTAAGTGCTGATAAAAATTTTTACTTGGATGAGGAAGACAAGGCAAGTGAGGTTGCCACTGAGGAAGAGGAAGAGGAGGAAGAAAGTGAAGAAGAACCATCAGATGAAGACAAAGATGATGAGTTTAGTGATGAAGACGACTTACTAAATAACACAAAGTCTAAACTGTAAGTTTTGTCTTTATTTTAAAAAGTTCTTGATACATATTTCAAGTGGCTAATTTACCATAAAATGTTAGAAAGCATAGGAATTGAGAAAATTATTACTTCCAGTTCTGTATGAAAGAGCTTTTTCACCTACCATTTCCCTTGTCTCTGGATGCTTTTGATGATCATGTTTTTCCCACCAGTGATAGCTAAAAGTGCTTCTTTTGGTAATATATTAAAAATCATCTGTTAGGATTTTCCTGCATGATTGTTAATAGCAATAATAAAAGGGAAGAAAAATAATGTTTTTTTACTGTAGAGAAATTGAAAAATAAAAGCCTGAGGAGAAAAATGACCTATAATCCCATCTATCACCTACTGAAAGGCATTAATGTTTGGGGCTACTTCTTTAGTTTTTTTTTCTCTGTTTTAAATTTGTTTTTCCCAAGTACAGGCCCCTGATAGCAGTGTATCCATGAAATACAGGCATCACCTGAGGATCAACATTGTTTTTCAGAGAGAGAGGGAGGGAGAGAAGAGAGGGGGAAAAAACATCAGTGCAAGAGAGACATCGATTAGTTGCCTCCTGCACGGGCCCCAACCCAGTGCCCCACACTCCAACCACTGAGCCACACTGGCCAGGGCTAGGGAATTATATATATTTTAACGGATGCCCAGTGAAAACAGTCTCAGAGGCTAGGCTCAGGCACTCTTAAATTTAAAAAGCCACAGTTCTCTTCCCTAGGATAATTCTAATGTACATTCAGTGTTGAGGATCACTGTCAAGGCACTGCAATAGAATGATTTCACTTTCCAATAAAAGTTGATTATCAAAACTTTCAGCTGCTCAGTTTATATGAATAATTAGGGAAGAAAGTGACTATAAATGTAAGCGTACTTGCTTATAAAAAGGACCCTTCAGTAATATAAAGTAGAAATTCTCATTGCATAAATATAGCAGGACCTCAAGGCAATTGCTGAAGAGTCTAATTTGTTAGGTCTGGGGTATGACATTTATAAGAAGTTCCAGTGAGAAATACAGATGTTCATCGCTGTTTAAAACGTCCTTGGTTGAGAGGTGCTACCAGATGCCTTTGTTTACCCAGAAGAATATTCTAAGTTTGGATAACTTGAACGTTCAGAGTAGAAGAGTCTGTCTTTCTCATTGGTTTTAGAGATGGAAGTATATACGTTTATTAACTCCCTACCTATATATGAAGTTGAACCAAATTGCCAGAGGCATCTCATCCTCTTTTCTGTAGTTCTTTTCTAAATAAAAATCCGTTATGGTCCTGGCCAGTGGGCCCAGTGGTAGAGCGTCGGCCCATGCACCAAAGGGTTAAGAGTTCAATTCCCAGTCAAGGGCATGTACCTGGGTTGCAGGTTCAATCCCTGGCCCTGGTTGGGGTGCCTGCAGGAGGCAAACAATATATCTCTCTCACATCCGTGTTTCACTCTCCTCCCTCCCCCCCCC